TATTAAACTCTGTTAGTAGTATATATTGTATTGTGTGTGATTAAAGTATGGTATTTTTTTTTACCCCACCTCTGCATGCAAGGATATTTTGGCCACCCCACCTAAAGCAAGTATTATTTTTCAGTTACCCCACCATTTTCTCTTCGGCCCCCACCTCTGCCTAAATAATGACCGATCCCTAATGGGGAGCCTTACCCCCCCCCCCAAAAAAAAATGGCAAGCATTGCTAAATTTAATGTGTGTCTGTTGCATTGTATGGCTGTATGACTGAATGTCTACATGGAAGCTGCCAGGCTGGTAGACCTTTGCATCATGTTGATAGATGCTTGGAGTTGTGGAGAAACTGCAGTTTCCGGCTATCTACAGACTCTAAAAGTTATGGTGGCGCCTTGTGAGATTCAGCCCCTGCAGGAGTGAACATTGTCTCATAAAATTGTATTGTTAACAATGAAATTGATCCACATACTCTACTTTTTTATTCATATTGTCACCACATTTATCAACACTGAACAATATTTTTTATAAAACAGTATAGCTGATGCAAATTCATGCATCACATAATAAAGTAAACTGATTTTTAAGAACATTTTAATGTACAATATTTAAGAATTCCCAATTGATATTAAAGTAAATAATTATAGTCAAAAAATTTTCACCATAAATTGACAAAAAAAGCTATATAGTGTATGCTTTCACAACAAAGTCACTTGACTATGTATTTGAAGTTGCTTTGCTCAAGGATAATTAAGGTATAAGAAGTTTAAACCTACCAAGTGAACAATGTTTTTCTCCTTTGGGGAAGTAAAATTGTCATTAAGTACACAATTTTGGGAGACATGTGGTGTTACTAAGGCAAATTGAGTAGGGTACATATGTAAAAAAAGCACTGCATTGCAGCAAGAGTGAATAATGTGTTGTAGCTGTATTTTGTTAATGTGTCTTATTGCATGTATTAATTTCCAGTAAACTATCGACCTTGATTGATGCTCAGTCAGCAGCTCAGCTAGTGTACTATATGGTACAGTACTTTTTAATGCAATCTAGTAATCCATATAAAACCTAATATAAGAATATAAAATAATATTTTTGTTATCAAGTACAGTAGCACATTGGTTACAGTAATAGGCAATTATTTTGTCACTTCTAAAAACATTTTTATGTGGGAACAAAGCTATAGGTGGCAGTATGCACAGAACATAAATTAACATAACTTGATAGTTCTCTTCAATGGGTTTAGTCAAAATTTCGTATTAAAAATCTAAATTCATAAACGTACTAATATTTTACATCACAATGTTAATTCTAATTCGTAAGTATTTTTAATATTATCATTAATAACTCATAACGGCTTTTGTCCAGACAAATGCGTCGGTATAGACCACTCCGGGCTCTTCACGCGTATTATTAACAATGCCACTCCTTACACTTATTGGCATTGACTTTATGGTGTTTGCGAATTGTTGGAATCTTCTCAAAATGATTAAAAACTTTTTCAATATCCAATAATGTCCTCTATATTTTATTTTTGTCTTGAAAGTGTTATCAACGCAAATTATAAACAAATTTTAACTATTTACCCGCCGAAAAAATGTGTGCCGCCATTTTGATTTTTCTCTTGACCAGGAATCCTGGTAAAGTGATGTTAGACAAAAACTGAATCAGTAAGTCAACCAAAATCCTGGTCGATTGAAGTATGTTTAACCCATTTGTGGTTGAAATTCATTGAACCCGGATTTTTTAACCAGGGTGTTTTTAGAGTGTATATATATATATATATATATATATATATATATATATATATATATATATATATATATATATATATATATATATATATATATATACGAGTAGGTTTGTGTATACGAAACGCAAAGAGTGCCCAATATCATAAAGATAGAGCAAATGTAGAATAGCAAATTCAGAAACAATGCATGACTAAGGACATAGTATACAAAGCAACAGTCACAAAAAGCAACCCTAACACGATCATGAATTATATTGGCATGACATCAACTGCATTTAAAGAGCGTTTGGCTAACCATAACTATACTTTCGAGCATAAAGAGCACTCAAACAAAACCTGAACTTTCGAAATATATTTGGACATTGAAAGATAGCAAGAAAGATTTTAATATCAATTGGCAAATTTTGAAACGCGCTATTTCGTATACGGGAGGATCAAAACGATGTAATTTATGCTTAGAGGAAAAATTTTGTATTTTGAAAGAAAACCAAAACCGTTTACTCAATAAAAGAATGGAAATTATATCTACGTGCAGACATAGGAAGAAATTTAGCGTAAACAACGCAAACAACACACTCCCACAATTCGATTAGGCATTTCCGCGTAAACAACGCAAACAATAGATGAATGCATGCTTTGTTTCACCCACACACCCCCACGTTCCGGCCAAAACACATATAAGCAGCCCTATTTTTCGAAACTTGTCATACCGCCTGATGATTCTTTACTGATGAAACAGACTGTTGCGGAATTTTGAGGTAAGCGAAATTCTATATATATATATATATATGTTTTTAGTATGCAAAACAATGTCAGCTAGGTGACAGGTGACTGACATGTGTTGCCTGATATGAAATGCCCTTGCTGTCCCGGACCTTTAGCAAGAACAGTTTAGAAATGATAGAGCTGTCCAGTATAAATAAAATTGAATGATAAAAAGTTGACAGCCTCGATCCTCAACACCTGCCAGCAAACTTACTAAAATTTACTGTTGTGGTCTAACCGCGTTCGCCGTAGCTAGCCAGACGGGTTAACCAGACACAGAAACACCCGCTAAATACAAGAATATGACTGGAACGCATGCAACCGCAATTTATAATAAAGTTAATATATTTTTAATGTTTGTCTTTGATATATATGTTTAAAATTTGCATTAATTCTATGTGCACAACAGCTGCATTGAATTTGAATTATTTTATAACAAATTTTTAAAAAAAAACTATTATTGAATCCCTTTTCGTCTGGCATTGTCAATTTGCAATATATAATATTTAAAAGATACATATATTACTTGATAATCCTATTTTCACTGTTGTGTAGAAATATACAGGGATTTATATACAAAGCGGAAGCCCTCAAAATCCGATTACCGAACTTGCATGATGCAAAATATATTCAACGAATTTTAAATTACAAATTGTGTTTTTTAACGTGAAAATAACGATTCATATATACAACTACCTACAAGATGTACAGATTAGATAAATAAATGTATCCGCTTTAGGGTTCTGTCTCAATATTCAATCCACGGCCATACACAAGATATTAGCATACAGTACATTAACATATTTAACATATTTACCGATGCAGTGTTTCTCGATGAAAGAGACGATCGGGATGTTCCACATGGGCGATGTGAGAAATCCAACGACCCCATCAAAGACAAACTCCCAGTCAGTCATTTTGGTGGAAAAAATCTTTCGTCTTTAATACAATCAAGTGAAACAACTTACAGTACAATCGAAACGAAAATGACACAACAACAACAACACAAAAATGCCAGAGAGAATGCTGGACTTCCGCGTCATTATCGCCATGACAACATGTTGCCAAGCAACGGGCTGCGGCGAAACAAGATGGCCGCCGTCTGAGGAGTGAGAAATGCGAAAATTGCTTGTTTTGGGAAGATAACGGCTCGGAAATGGCCATGGAACTTGTGAAAGCTTCGGACCTTTCTGCTGTTGTACATAAGGCAGTTGAGAATTTGCAGGAATTGGGTAAAACGCGAATATTACTGCTTAAATATTAGTAATTTAGTAGTGCATATATAAATAAATTCTTAATTTCTCATGTCTCTTTAGCAATGGTAGTAAGAAAGGAAAATGATTTTCTGGAGGATGAATACGATGCTTCGAATATTGGAGTTATTATTGAAGCATTAGAGGAAATGGTTAGTTTGCAGTTTGAGAGTAGTTTAGTGGTGTACTATGCCATATATTTAATGATGCTTTCCAGGGCAAACAGGGGGGGGGGGGATGACATCCACTATTTTCACCCCCCACACACACACAAATACATACAAACATGAGGGAACAGCGTGTCCCACTTTCCCCTGACTCAGGAACGCCATTCAACAATGCCGCAGTTAAGAAGATGCGACGTATATATATATATATATATATATATATATAATTAACGTTACAAATATCTTAAAATAACATTTTTTTTCGCTACTCTGAGTTTCACGATCTTGTCTGAT